GGAACTTGTTTCCCAGGCGTCATATTCTTTGCTCTATTTTATTTTCATCTCATTAATGAATAGTCATTATTCTGCCCAGTGTTTTGGAGTTAAAAATAAAACAAAACAAGATATCGTGAGCTAAAATATGAAGCCCAAGAGATGATCCCCAACCCATGACTAAAATCTCCACTAATTAAACATGAATGCAAAAGCAGCCTCTGCCTACGATTCATGTGTGCTATGAAGATAAGTAAATAATCCTTAGTGCTTTGAATTTCTGAGAAGAGAGTTAGCATAACATTGTTAGGCATTTTTACCCTGGCTTCAAGTTATTTAATTGTCTTGTTATATAAATTAAAAACTATAGAACAAAACTATAGAAAGGGGAAATATTTAAAATCGACGGTGTACATTTTGCTGTACATCTGACATTAATACAACATTGTAAATCAACTATATTTCAATAAAAATTTAAAAAATAAAATATAGGATGAGGCAAATTTTACCTTTAACTAGACTTACTTTGATTTCATTCATAGCCTGTTACTTTGCAGATGTATTTTCTCGAAGTGTTAAATGGATTTAATTTTTTTGCATCTGTTTTTTCTGGCATCTTCACTATCCCTTGGTGAAATGGCACCATAGCTAGAATTATGGAGAAATGTGACTTCTTTTTCAAACTTGTTAATACATATTGAACATTATGCTGATAAAGCCAATCTCTAATAAAATGAAATAGCTAAGTATGTAACTAAAAAATTGAAGTGGGAAAAATTCAAAATGTGAAGTATAGATTTAATATAGTCATTAAATGTTATTGCCACTTATAATTTCTGCTTTTTATATTTTTAAATTAAATTTCTCCCAATCTGATGATGTACTTTAAAATAAACATATAATTGAATATTTCAAAAAGAAATCTGTTTACAGCTGTTTATGAGATGACCAAGATAATGAATGTAGAATTTTCCTCACTTTTATTCATCTTTTTCTTGGGCATTCTTCCACTGAACACAAATAGTTATTAATCTATTATATGCCCTTATTCTGCAATGGGGTATATAAGGGTGAGCAAAAGAGCTATCAATCACCCAGTCTTCAAGGGACTGCAATCAACTGGATCTCTGCCAATGATATTATCAATTGTCTTTACCAATATTTATTTGGACACTATGTGCTGGAATGCAAGGATAAACTAGGCAGGAGCTCATAGGAGAGTGAGACGCTGACATGGGTATTGTCATTTCTAGCAATGGGTGAGTAAACAGGACACTGCAAGACAAGAAGGGAGGGAATGAATCACTTTACTTGGAACTCTGGGTAGAAGATTGATTTCAAAGAGGACTTAGAGTATCTTTTGAGTTGAAAAGGGAGGATATGGGCACCCAAGCAGAGTGTATAGGCTCTGCCCAGATATGAAAAAGCAGGCTAGTCTGCTTGTAGGTCACAGTCACTTGAGAAGGCAGCATTGGGTGAGTGGTTGAAAGATGAGTTAATACCAGAATATAAGTATCTTAGGTTTCTACTAAGGAATTTGCTGATGCTCATGGATGATGGGAAGAGAGAGATATGGGCGTACAAGATTTTTAAGCAAGATGATAACATAATTACAAGATACGTGATGACAAGTCAGAAGATGGATTGGAGAGAGGAGTGATTGGGTGATAATAGCTAATGTTGATTGTGTCTGTGTTTGGTATTGGCTTTGTCCTAAATATATATATATATATATATATTTTTTTTTTTTGCGGTACACGGGCCTCTCACTGTTGCGGCCTCTCTGGTTGCGGAGCACAGGGTCCGGACGCGCAGGCCCAGCGGCCATGGCTCACGGGCCCAGCTGCTCCGCGGCATGTGGGATCCTCCCGGACCGGGGCACGAACCCGCGTCCCCTGCATCAGCAGGCGGATTCTCAACCACTGCGCCACCAGGGAAGCCCTGTCCTAAATATTTTACACTCAGTAAATGCTCATGACAAGCCCATGAGTTGGGGGCTGTTATAATCACACCACACACACACACACACACACACACACTCACACGTATACATATCATATTACTTTGTATATCTTTTTTTCACTCCTGGCTCCCCTGCTAAAATGTGACCTCCTTATGACAGATGCTCGGTTTCATTTATCTTTAAATCCCAAGTGCTAGCACAGCACCCAGAGTATAGGAGATATTTATTGAATAGTAGGAGGACGAGAAAGGCAAAGAAGCAATGACATTTTACAGTTACAGGGCACTGGCTGAGTTCTGTGCTGCATAGAGAGCTTTTAAACCAGATCTGTAAACACTAAACATAAAATAAATCAAGTAAATTGGGCCTGGCCCCATAATTCTCCATACATGGCTGTACACGTCAACTTTAATTCTCACAGAGTGATGTATATTCCTTATTCTTGCTTCTTAGAGTTGTACTTTTGCCAACAAGACTTGTACTAATCTTTCTACAGAAGAAAATAGGACATGTTGATTGCTGCTTTGGTAATTTAGCTATTATTCTCAGTCTCCTATGTGTCAATTTAAAAATGATCACCAGTGTCAGTACACGGCTGGCAGCCAAAAGTTTTCTTTAATGTTCCACAGGCACAACTTTTCAGAGTTAGGGAACCGGAAATTCTTTTCTCCATAACTGTTAGTATCTACTTTTGAAAGCACGCAATTAAGAGAAAGCAGATATATCTGTTAATGTGCACAAATTAGTGGTACTAGGAAATAGAGGCTTTTGGAATTTTAGGATAAAGAAAGGTTGGAGTGTTAACCCTGAATTATTACCTATCCCTGCTACAGAAGAGAATTTGGACATAACTCTATGTGCTTTGAGATTTACACATTTTTCCTCTGGTTTGGTTTTGTTCTTTTTTCTCCTGCTTCATTTTCAGGGTGTGAGTATAAGTGGGGGTCAGAGGCATCGAGTCAGTCTGGCCAGAGCTGTCTATAGTGGGGCCGACATCTACCTCCTGGATGATCCCTTGTCTGCAGTTGATGTTCATGTTGGAAAGCAACTTTTTGAAAAAGTGATTGGGTCCTCCGGCATGTTGAAAAACAAGGTAGCCATAGCATCACTTATGCTTTAGTGAGGGAAGGATAATCTATGTAGCATTGTGCCCAAAATTCTAATATTGTATTTATTTGTTGAAGCAGAGTAAATTTCACATAAAGAATGAGATGTTATATTGCTCTTTTACAGATTCACTTTAATGAATGTTTTAAAATTTTTTACAAGTTTACTCTGACCACAACTTATGTGATTATTACCTCATTGACTAATACCATATTCGAAGGTGGTTTACATGCCAAAATGAGTTGTTTATAGCTTAGGTAACTTTTTTTGAAAAGTGGTATTTTGATACATAGCACTTTTATAAAAAATAGTATTTATTATTTATTACTTAAAATGTGGTATTATTAATCTAGCATTCATAACAATTCAATTGTTTTGTGAAGGAACCAAGAAGAAAGGAATTAATATTTACCAAGTGCATACTATGTTTGACACTAAATTAGTTCATTTAGTTCTTATAGCAAGTCTCTGAGATAGGCATTATCGTTATTCCTGTTTTATACATGAAGAAACTCAGGGCTTATAATGACTTGATGTAGCTTGCTTAATTTAAGATCCACAGAGATTTTTAAAAGCCTGTCTGACCACAAAACCATACTCATCGATTCACAATATGTGTTTACAGATTTATTAATATAGAGAATTCTGGAAATGTTAAATAAATGTATAAAATAATAAATATTTAAAGAATAGACAAATGTCTTTACTTATTGAAATGAAACCAAGATAAATCTTCTCATTCAATTTTATGTATATGTATACAATAATATGGAAAGATTTAAAAATAAAGACTTGAATCAAACATGTTTTTGTAATGCTACAGGACCTTAGAAAAAGGAAGCAAGAATGACAGTTATAAGATTGTTTTTAATTTGCTGTAAATTTGATTCATTTTTAATGGATGAAGAATACCTGAACTAATGGGTTAAAAACATTTGCTGACTTCTTTTTTTCTTTTTTGTCTAGCAGTGTATCATCATTCATTGTGAAATATATTTATATACGCTGCCTTAAACTGGCACCTACCAAGAATTATACTCTAAAATAGTAAAGGCAAAAAATAACGATTGCAGCTCTCTTTAAAATGGCTTATTTTTGCCATCTTTTGTAACCCAGGAAATAAAATACTCTTTTGCAGACTCGAATTTTAGTGACACACAACCTCACACTTCTACCCCTGATGGATCTTATTGTTGTAATGGAAAGTGGCAGAGTAGCACAAATGGGAACATACCAGGAACTTCTGTCTAAAACCAAAAATCTCACGAATTTGCTTCAGGCCTTCAGTGAACAAGAAAAAGGTGAGGACACAGTGAAAAATAAACCTAAGATACAGTGTGCTTACCCATTTTGAAAGCCCATTAATTGCCTGATTTCTTACTATGCATTTTTCTTCATTCATGCTACTTAAGTCAGGAATTGTGTGTCTTCCTTTCTCTAGAAAAGAAACAAATACGTTGGGACACATCAGCTAAAAATCAACCTTGTTTATGATTTTTAAGCAAAATGTTCTTCCCCAGGGTCAGTTTGTTCATTTATGAAATAAGAGATTAGATGATTTATAAGCTCTGTTGCAGGTTTAGAATATAATGGGTCTAAACATTCTACTTTCTTTTAAATTAAATCCATGTCAAATAAATAATAAATATTTAAATCATACTATTGCATGTTGTGGGAGAGAAACAAAAGAAAAGAAAATCTGAAGAATGACAAAGGAGAATGATATTGTCTAACTTTTACAAAATAGCAACTGAGTTTATTTACTGCTAATTTTTGTTAGTATAATCCTAATATTTTAAATTAAGATTCATAGATATTTGTGTAAATGAAGTGGTTTGATCTTTATCTAATTAGGACATAAGGATGTTTGAAATCTAGTATTAGTTTAATATTCCAGAGATCAGTCATTTTCCAGCCCTGAAAGTTGGATGTACCATTATCTTTTTCCAGCTGTAGATGTTTTCTCATGTGTACCACCATCATGATCCTTGTTCTATACCTTTCCAGAACACCACTGAGAAATGGCTGTAAAACCAGTGAACTATTTCATAATTGCAGGCTAAAAGAAGACATATAGAATTATTCTTAGTATTTCCTACATGAACTGGTATCTATTCATTCACTTTACACTTTACCTGGATATAAAAGTCAGAAAGATATGAAAGCAGTTTATAACAAGATCAGTGAAATTTGGTATTTTAATGCCATGAAATCAAAAAGCAGAGCCATTTTGCTGATGTGTTTCTCTAAGCTAATACACATTAGGTATGCACTACTATTTTTTTTATTCCTTGTTTATGCTCCTTTCTCAAATTTAAATATTCTATATGTAGATACATTCAGAAAAACCTGATCCATTGTCAGGTGGCTGTGATCATTCTTAATAAAAGAAGACCTTGTCTTTTCTTAATGGCTAGCAGTTTTGGAAATGAGCCCTTGCCTATTTGGTCAGGCTAAGTAATAATTTATATTTAGTGTGTAGGAAAGATACATCTATGAGTGTCTCTGAGGACTGCAATGAGGATGTGGTCTGTCATTTTCTCTATCCCCAGCACTTAGGTAGCCTCATCTTAGGCAAATAACAGGTACTCAGTAGCTGTTTGTTAAACAGATGAATCTGCCTCCATTTTTTCTACCAAAAGTATGTCTCCTCAGACTGAATGGGATGATTTGTAATGCTACGAGCCAGGATATATTTTTTGCTATTTAGTTTAAAGGCAACATGAAATATAAGTTGTATTACTTTGGAAAATATAGCTCTGAAAGCAGGCAGTGTGTAAGTTTTAAGTTCAATATTTAATCTACCATAAAATATGGAACACAATTTTGAAAGTTGTGGGATTTGCTCTTGTTTAAGTCTCCAGTTTTGGAAACAAATATCATACCTCCCTCCATTGATATATCTTATGTACACCAGTCCTCTGTGGTAACAAGTGGAAAACATTCTTGAAGTTGAGCTGACATTAATAGATTTTACTCTCTCAGCAACAGAAATATGACAGATTTAGGAAAATGTAAATTGAGCTTTCTTCTAATTACTTCAGTATTGTGTCTTTTCTGTTAAAATTCAGAAAGGTGGTGAGTAAAGATCATTTTTGTACTAGAAATAGAATATGGTTTTTACAATGAATATTTCTGGGATTTTGATTTATTTGGATGCTGAGTAAAAAATATATAAAGTCTTTTAAAAAGCAGGCATAAAATTACTCATGTTAATACTAGATAGATAGATATTTGTAAAAGGTCAGCCATATATATTGTAATTTTATTAGTGACCACACAGAGCAGAACAAAAATAGATCAACTGATATAAAATTGATATAAAACATACCCAATACAACAACTTCAAACCTGGTTACATTTAGTCACATTCCTGCAGTATTGCCCGTAGACCTGGGCCAATTTGACCCAGTCCTGTAGTACGTCTCTGCTCTGCCTTCCCTGGCTGGCTCTCTGGCCAAGGCCTAGGGATTGTGCCCATCGGGGATCCTCTTCCTATCCCGCCACTCCTTGACCACTCCAGGTACTTGGAGTCCCAGAGTTCTGTGCCCAAATGACATAAATTTGCTCCAAGGACCTGGGCTCTCATTCTTTAGTTCTACCCTCTTAAGGGTCGACTGCTCTACTGGCATTCACTACTCCTTGGATAAAGGATGTTTTCTTTCTTGGAGGAGGGTTGGCAGAGTCTGGACATGTAGCTGAGGCAGCCACAGACATGGTGAGGGGTGGAGCTGGGGTGGGAGAAAACCCAGCAAGCACCTTGACCACATCACGCGGGACTACTGCATTCCCCAGAGGAACTCGCAGGGCTCCAAACACTCTCACCTGGATTTTGCCTTCCAGGTGGTTGGGAAGGTGTATGTGTTAGGGTAAGTGATAGAACTTATTTACCGGTCTGTTAGTTCCATCTATAACTATCAAATACTTATAAGTAGGATATGCGGGCCTTCATTTATACTCTTGGCCCCAGTTACCACAAATGTTAGGCGCAGGCCTGTCCCTGTGGGGAATTTCTTTCTCTTCTTTGCATAAGTAGTGAATAAAAATCAACTTATATCTGAGAACATTTTTACTGGAATTTAGAAGAAAGAGGGCTACATGGACAGAGTGTGATTTGAGAAGTGTGATCCCCACTTCTAAATTCAATCTGTGATCTATCATTTATTTTTTACAATTTATCCTTTTTGGCCTTGAGTCTGTTCAGGAATTACTTTAAAAAGCACACAATATCTCCATTTAAAACTTTTTATTCACTTAATGTGACATGAAAGTGGGAGTAAAAGTCAGCACAACATAGTGGAAAAAACATGGGACCAATTTCAGAGCCCTGGGTTCTGGTTCTAGCACTGAATAATTATATGAATCTTTGTAAAAATGACCTCTTTTCATTCTTCCCATTTATGAAAAATGAGACTTGAACTAGATCTGTTTGTCCTGGTGTCTGATATGGAAATGAACAGTGTACATTTTTATCACTCCCTTGCCCCCCAAACTGCTTATGACCCAGACACTTTTTCTTTTCCTATAATTCTCACCCTCACTACCAGAGCTGATGACAGATAAGTAGAGTTTACAGTATAATTTGGCTTGGATACATCAGATCTCTAAAACTCCATCTAGCTCTGAAAAATCTATAAGTCTCACCTTATGGGAATATTATATAAGAGGTGAGAATCAGAGGAGAGAAAAGAGTTTATGGAAAAAGATACGACTAAAGATAAATTTACATATTTATAGGTTTAGCCTAGGATAATTCTTACCCATACTAATAATACTGATGATAGCTAAGCTGTCTTAGGTATTAATTCTGTCAATATAGTCACAAGTGTTTTACTTAATTCTCCCCAAAACCCCCTGAGACTACATGGTCCTAATTTTAAAAGAGGATATACATCTTGCCCAAGTTAAGACAGTGTAAGTTGCAGAATTTGAATCCATCACTGCCTCTGTTTCATGCCAGAGGCCAATCAAACTTTTAAACATTATATCAAACCTGTAGGAACAAGTACATTGACTTAGTGTGAAAGACAGGAAGGAGTGTAGGGCTCAGCTCACGCTTGCTCTCTCCATCTCTCTGTCTTTCTCTTTTTCTCTCTCTCTCCCTCTCTGTCTCTTTGACAAATTTGGGTTTCAGGCAAATCACTTATCCTATCTGAGTTTTATTTTTCCCTTCAAAATAGGGGTAAACTTGCCTGTTCTCTTTATCTTATCAGCTCATTTTGGCACTCAAATTGTATAATGTATGTGAACACGTTGTATAAATTATAAATATATAAATTCAAACATTATTATCATCAGCTGTAAAGATGAAAATGTGCCTTAGGCAGGAGAGGATGAAACATCCCCAAATTGAATTTTAATTCTGTGAGACATGGAATCCCACGTTTCTTAGAGATAGTTGATGTAAATCAGAGGCTTCCTTTAAGGACCGGATGTTTACTTCTAGAAATAAGAAAACATAGAGTTCATATAAGAGACCTTAGAAATCTCCAAGTCCACTTCCTTCGTTTTAAAGATAAGAAGTCTGAAATTCAAGGAGGTTAAGTATTACACTGTGGGAAAAGACAAAAATCTGCCTAGCTCTGAGATGTTTCCCATCGAATTCACTAACAGTAACTTCAACCTCAGTCTTGTAGTTCTAGATGTGTGACTTTGATTAATGCTACCTGCTTTACTTCTCTGTGCTTTTTATCTGTAAAATAAGGATAATCGTAGCATCTTCCTCACAGGGGTAGTTTTGAAACATAAGAGTTAAAATATGTAAAGTATTTAGAACATTGCCTGCCACGTAGGAAGCTATTATTAGTGACATTAGTAAGAACATGACAGAGATTCGGGGATTACCATTGCATGCTCTTAATACTTTTCACAATAATAACATTTGTCTATAAGACTTGATGGTACTGCATTTCTTTTTTAAAGACTGGAGTCATGTTCCTCTTGGGCAAATACTTAAACCTTCTGTGGAAGATCCAAAACAAGTTAGCACTCCTCTCTAATGTCTAAGAAAGAACTTCTCTGTAGGCTTTTTCATTATGGAATCCTAGTTTTATTGAGACATTACAAAACATTTTAGGTGAATAGGAAATAATGGGGAAATGAAAGGCTCCCAGTATACCTATGGATCCAGAACACAAAAAATTCTCTAACTTGTATAATCTTTCATCATATTTCTCTCTATTTTGTGCATTGTTTGCTTTTATGGATATAAAAGCACTCGCCATCTTCCTCCGCAGCTCATGCTTTAAAGCGAGTCAGTGTAATCAACTCCAGAACTCTACTGAAAGAACAAATCCTGGAGCAAAATGATAGGTGAGTATTAGGGTAATACCAGGCTCATAGGGATTATGGACTAATTAATTACATTTTTTAGCATTTAAAATGCATGCTATAAAAGTGATCTGTACATTATGATGGATACAAAATGTACTTAGTGGTTTCCAGGTTTTATACTATGAGTTACATGGTTGTATCTAAGTTTTTAAGTGAGATGTATGTGACTTAATTTGGGACATATAGTAATTCTCAGTAATTTCTAGCCAAATTCTACTAGAAGAAATCTACTCGGATTTGTGTGTGTGTGAGCTAAAGATATACCCGAAATGAATCTGTTTAGAAAAGTAAGAGGAAGGAAGGGAAGGAGGGAGGAAAAGAATGATAAGGGAAAGGAAGAGAGAAATAAAAATAATAAAACTTTGACCCTGATTAGATTGTTAATATTTACTTCTTTTTCATTTTTGTAAGTAACTAAAATGAACAGTGATAGAAGCAAATTAACCTAATCAGTTATTTGCCCTAATACTCCAACAGCTGCAAAGAGGAGACAAAAAAAAAAAAAAAAAAAAAAGGAATAATAGCAAAAAGTGGTTTAAAAAGTAAGTGGCTAGAATTATAGGGAGCTGCCACCGGTCAAAGTTGCTAAAATGGAGAATTGGAATGGATTAGAGAGAAGCAAATACTTCAGGATCCAATAGCTCAGAATTTTGTAGTTTTGACCTTGAGTGAATGAATGGGCCTTGAATTTATTATTTTTTTTTGAAAGGATTGGATATTCCTGTGGTTGTGTGATGATGTGGATGTTGCAGCTTGGAGCTTTGTGTACATACCAGGTTTAGCTGACTGAATAGGTAAATTAAATTATTCCTCTGGATCATAAAGACTTTGGACTGCTTTTCTTCTTTATTGTCTTGTTGTTGTCATCCAGTCTCATGACTTTAATTACCTTTACTCCAAGTTTATATCCCCAGCCCAACCTGTCCTCTGAACCCCAGAGTTGAACCCTCCTCTTTGATGTCTAATCTTCTTAGCTAATGGCAACACTGTTCTTCCAGCTGCTTAGATAAAATATCTTGCAATCACCCTTGACCTCTCTCTTACTCCATATCCAGTCCATCATCAGATCCCATCGGCTCTATCTTCAAAATATATCCAAGAATCCAGAAATCAAACAATACTCATCACTTTCACAGCTTCCTTTTGTCCAAATCACTATCATTTCTCCCCTGAATTATAATTGTCTTCTTTTTTTTTTTTTTTTTTTTTTTTTTTTTTTTTTTTTT